CGAAAGGATTACGATCTGTAGGTACATATGTGTAGTAGAGGGAAACCGTCCTCAGATGCTGTCCTATATCACTTCTTGGTACAATGTGGTCACACTGGTGTCTGTGTGTATGTGTGCATATATATATATGTATATATATATATGTGTATTATGTATATATAATATATATCTATGCACATATACAAATGTGCATACACACACATGTATATATATATACACACATATACATATACACACACATACATGTATACATACATTCATACGAGTATATACCTGAATACTTACGTATATCTATATCTATATCTATATCTATGTCTACATCTACATCTATAACCATATCTAGATCTATATACATTGTTGACGTCAGCCTTCTGTCAGGGCCTGCTCCACAAGCTCCGCTCGTGGTACCACCCACAGCTGGGCTTTGCTGCCTCTTTGAGTCCTCTGCTTTTGGTTTTGTTTAGTGGTTTCGAGTATAGGGTTTAGGTTTTCGGTCTGATGGGATAGCCTTAAGCCCTAAGTAGTTCATCGGAGGTGGGTTCTGGTGGATTGTTGTAAGGTGTTTCAGGATCATGGGCTCAAGTTCCAGGGGTGGTTAACCGGAGGGTGCACGATAGGAGATGCCATCTTGAACAGACCCTTGGATGCAGCAAAGCTTGTGAAAGCCTTAGTCTGGGACAGGATTTCTGGCTTTAGAATGCGGAACTCCAACATCTGTTGGATTGTCCGAGCCAAGCAAGCTTTGTGTCTTTCGTTCGTGTCAGCAGGCCATCCCTGGCAGTTCGACTGAAGCTTGAAAACGACCGTGTTTCGTGGACAAACAGCTCAGACTCAAAACAACGCAAGTTCTGTGACATCGTAGTCGTAGGGAAACTTGCCGCAGCGGCAGTACCGGTGGCAGCAGCACCAACAACTCTTCAGCACAAACACGCTACGCCGTGACTGCAAGAGAGCCACTTTTGCAGTGGCAATAGGGGGCTCGGCATGAAAACTGCAGAAGCTGGGCATTGGCCTTGGATCTTGCTCATACAAGCTTTTGTTGCAGCAGAAGCATCGATCAATGCACCGTGTGTATCCCCCAGAGCCGGGCTTGGTGGTTATAGCACAATAGAGGTATGTAGGGAGTCCGCGCAGTATAGTGTTAGGAACTACAGAACCTTCCGAAGCGAGCCTTACTTCAGCAGCTCAATGTCTGCAGCCGGACACAGGTTTGCTAGTGAGCAAGTTCTTCACTTAGCCTAAGGCCATAAGCCCAAACCCTATAAGCCCCTAAGCTTAAACCCTAAATTCTAAATCCTAAACTAAACCCTAAACACCCCAATGAGCCCCAAAACGCAAAGCCTAAACCAAAGCCGGGGCTCCCAGATCACGGCTTCTGGTCTTTCAGGCCAACACGTCAGGCTTGGTAGGGGGTGTGGGATTGGGCCGTTCGGGTTTTTGTGAAAGCTCCTTCGTTTGAGGCTGTCCGGAGATTGCTCCCTAAACCCTAAACCCTAAACCCCAAACCCGAAGCATTCTGGTAGTTGAGCGGTTTGGGGGTTTTCTGGGTTTCGGAGTCCCCGCTGGGCATTTAAACCCGGTCTGCAAGGTGTATGTCTATAAGGTGTATACCGAACCCTAAACCCTAAACCCTAAACCCTACCGTTTAGGGTTCAGAGATTAGGGACATTTAGGATTCGGGATTCTGTAGCAGGGGGTCCTGTAAAGTGGCCTTGGCAGTCTTCGGATTCGTGTCTTCGCGCTTCAAGACGCGGGCTTCCGGACTTGACACGCCGATAAAAGTGTAAAGTAGGGTTTAGGGTTTAGGGGTTAGGGTTTAGGGGTTTAGGGGTTTAGGGTTTAGGGTTTAGGATGTAAGGTTTAGGGTTTGGGATAGTCGTCACTTCCACATGGCATGCTAACAGTCGGATCGGCCGTGAACACTTGCATACCTATACTGACAGATCTACCTGACCCTGACCCCCATAAACCTTACCCCTAGATTGTCCCCACTGCTCATCCCCAGTCACCAACAGTTGAAGAAGTATCTTTATATGTAATTTATATATATATATAAGGGCTTTAATAGTAGCCCCAAGCCTGAAGCACTAAACCTCAAATCCGGGTCAGAGCTTCAGCTGAGCGTAATCAGCAAAGCGTGTAACTCGCTGCCCAAAACCGTTCTTCACCATTCTCAGAAGATGATGCCAACAGTTTCCACCGCCAGCATCAGCGCCTAGGCTTCCAGTACCTTTGAGAGCATCATGAGCATCAGTTGCTGTTTTTGTCAACCTCGGGTCCCTTTGCACCGACATCACGAGAATAGGTTGCCATGCACGTCGAGCGAACATCATGGGCATCGATTGCAAGCCGTTTACACCTTTGTACTGAGAATCAGCTGCCATCATCTGCCATCCGTCTCAACCCATGCGCCCCGCACAGCGAACATCATCAGCATCAGTTGCCTGCTGCTTGGCCGGTGAACAGGCATTATGAACATCAACTGCCATCGGCTTCTGCCAGCACAGCAATCATCGTGGGGCATCAATAATTTGTGAGACTTTTGCGCGGACATCATGAGCATAGGTGCCATGTCTGTCAAGCCCCGGCCTGTACAAGCGAATGGCATGGGCATCGGTTGACATCCACAGCCAGCTGCGCGGACATCATGAGCATCAGCTGCCATCCGTTTCATCACATGTGGCCCGTACTGCGAGCATCATGAGCGTCAGTTGCCTGCTGTTTGAGCCTCGGGCCCTTTGCACCGACATCAGGCGCTGTACTAGCACGTGGCGGTTGGCAGCTGTTTCAACGCCAATCCGGTCGAACCAGCATCATCAGCGTCATTTTTCGGTCATCTCAACCCCGTTTTCTACTCAATGCACCTTGTTCAGTTGGTCGGTCGGGGCCCTGCCTTCTGCTTCTTGCGCTTCTGCAGATTCCATGGTTTTGATCCCCAAGCCGTCCATCATCGCCTCTCGCACAACATCTACTCAGCCCTTATAAGGGAAGCCAAAGAAAAGCCGAACTGCATGCAATCCTGCCGCTGCTTGTCACAGGCCGCATGCCAGCCCGCCTCTGCAGGCAACCGGATTCGTTCAGAATGTCTGGCTTTAAGATGCATACGGCAAGGTCTACAGCAAGGTATGTCATACTAGCATTCCCAAAAGCAAACTCCAACACACGCTCACCGGCAATTCTGAAGAAGATCCTACGAGACACTGTGCTGTTACGACCACGACTACCACTATTGCTACCAGCACTACCTCTACTAGCCCCAGCGCCTGCAGTAACAGTAGCAGTAGCACTGGTACTCTGATCACTGTTGCACCCACCACCACCACCACCACCACCACCAATGCTACAACTTTTTGTCAATCTAGACAGTTTCTCTCATAATGTGAAAACTCCAATATCAATGCGACGAAGACTGGTTGCCATCACCACCATGCCAACAGCAGGTGTTGTCGTAATGCCGACTTGTACTACTGTGATAGTAGTCAGGACCCGAAATTCCCAATAAGCAATGTGGTAGTCTCATTATTCTGAGTTTCACTGGCAATGGCACGGTTCTCTTGTTGTGTTGTTTCCTGTTATGTTTTGGTAGTTCAGAGACAGAATTAGGGATTAGGTTTTAGGGTTTAGGGTTTAGGGGAACCTCGGCTCCTAAACCCGACACTTGTACTCCAAACCCCGAGCACCAGCCCTGCACCGCTACACTAAGACCCATACCGCAACAGTGGATTACTATGCTATACCCTAAACCCTAAAACCAAGCGGCAACATATTCTAAACCCGAAACCCAAACCCCGAGGCCCTGAAGCCCGAACGCCCCAACGCCCTCAGACCTGAAAGCCTGAAAGCATTAAGATCCTACAAGTCCTTAAGGCCTGAAGCATTAAAGACTTCAAAGCCCTAAAATCCTAAACCCCTAAAGCACCAAAGCACCCCAATCCTAAGACCCTGAAGAGTTAAAATCCCTAAACCCTAAACCCTAAAGAAAAAATCTTGAACCCTAAATCCTAAACACTCAGCCCCAAACCCCAAACCCTAAACCGTAAAACAAAAAGCCGCAAAGCCCCAACCCGAGGCCAGATTTTGCGCAGCCTCGCCGCCCATCTCGGTGCCATCGACTCGGAACCTGCCGGCTTGGTGCAGGTTTAGGGTTTAGGGCTTAAGGTTTTAGGGTTTAGGGTTTAGGAGATTTAGGATTTAGGGGACTTAGGGTTTAGGGCTTAGGGTTCAGGGAACTTGGGGTTTAGGGACGCAGGGTTTGTGGACTTGGTGTTTAGGGCTTTAGGGTTTCGGGACTTAGGGGTTTAGGGACTTAGGGTTGGGGTTTAGGGCTTTAGGGTTTAGGGTTTTGGGGGTGTTTTCAGTGTCCCCAAGGGTCCCATGTACCCAAGTAGTATGTAAGTACATTGGCCCAAAGTACCTATATATGTAGGGACTACATTAAGGCCAAAGTATATACTGTTTGGGTACATGGACCCCTAGGCGTTTTCATTTTGAGGGTATGGGGTCGTCGGGTCCGTTGGGTTCGTTTGGAGTTTTATGCCCCGGCGTGAATCGCCTACAACTTTTCTTTTCCAACTCCCATGAAGCTTTGAGTACAGTAGAATCGAACCCTTCAAGGGGTGGAGTTGGAATACGTACCCTGAACCCTAAACCCTAAACCTTCAGAGGGTACCCAGACCCGACCCTACATTGAGCACAAGGGTAAGAACCGCAGTAACGTCATCGCAATCTTCCTCAGCATGTTTCAGTCTCGTTTCAATTGTGAGTGATAGGCTGGGATCTGGAGTTCAGTAGTTTTCGCTTTTGGGAGGGGAGATCCCTACTATCACCATCAGCTTCGACACAGCCGTGCTACAAGTATCGAAGAGTCAGTGTTGCACAATGTCCGTTCTCGGAGCACTCTTCTCAGCAGCTCTTCGCACACCATGCATGTTGTTCGTCCTCTAAACCCCGCAGGATTCTTGTTGAGGGTTTAGGGCTTTAGGTGTTTAGGGTTTAGAGTCATGTCTACGAAGTCTGAGTATTCCGCCCTCTCCCTTCCAAAGCTGATGGCCGAACGCGAAGAGGACACCTGGCAGGTCGAGGGGCTTTCTGTGGAGAGCGTCTCAGAGGAGGAGCCCGAAGAGAGACCGGAGGAGGAGGCAGATGCTGCGGAGGAAGCTCCTAGGTTCTGGAGTACCATACGGCTTTTTGATACTTTGGGCTCAGGGTTTAGGCTTTTTGGACCCGTTCCTTAATGGAACCATTACGAAATAAGAGGCTAGACGTTTCTCCCCCTGGTTATCTCAAAGTCCAGGCACAGCTTCCCCGGCAAGAAGAGATGGATCTTGCACCTTCTAAGGTGTTTTTCACCCACGACCACATCTCTTCCAAATTCCGGTCTGGCACCTTGCTTGACGATGCAGTTCGTGACATTATCAATGGCGGTAAGGCTTTCGATGACTTCCCAAGCATCCTGTGCACAAGGTTCCATGACAAACTGTTCTCTATCAACAACAGGCGGCTATTTGTTGCTCGAGTCCTGGAACAAATGGGGTGTCTTCATTTGATTCACATTGTCGTCGTTGCCCTAGACGACCCATACCTACAACGAGAAGGAGATGGTGGGCTCACGAAGTGGGAAAGGTCCTTTTCTACCACAAATGGTGGGTTGTTCGTTCGTGTGCGGAGTGATTTCAGGAAGTTTCAATCAGACCATGCCGGACAAGTTGATCAAGGCCAGACTGGCCAGACGCGCAGGGAGGCAAGTCGCAGACCCCAGGAAGTTCTCCTTTGGCAGAAGACCGCCGAGGTGAAAAAGGGTGATGATCCCGATCCCCGCAAGAGAGCGCAGCAGGCCAAATGGAAGTTGCAACAGAGCGTGCCAAGCGATATCCTAAACCAGCTCGGCAAAACCTATGGCATTTTATCGGAGATCATAACTCACCCGCGAAGTCCTCAAGCTGCTGTAAAACTTGCGCCAGATTTGAACTGCACAAAGTTTCCAGAAGGCGTGCAAGCAATGCGTGAGGTAGTGGCGTGTCGATACAGCATGAAGAGCCAGAAGACCGGCAGCGAAAAGAAAACTGTCTTGAGCGTGCAGTCGCCGGTCGAGATGTCAGCACAAGAGAAGCGTGCAGCAGAGAAGAAGAAGTCCATCGACAGGAAAAACCGTGACAAGCACAGACGCCGGTAGCCGGCAGCAGATTATCAGTTTCATGTCCAGAAAAGCCTTGCGATTTTGCGACTGCAAAGCAGTGTTTTCGCGCAAGGAGAGAGGACAAAGCATGTTTAGAAAATGATTGCAGGGTCCCAGTAGTCGTTTGTATAGCAAGCCGTTCAAACTGTGAACTGCAAACTGTAAAGCCTAAACCCTACCTGCAACGCCTTGGTTGCCCCTTTTCAAGATCAACTTTTGAAAGTGCACGACAATGTTGATCACCGTGGCCTAGTGCACCATAATTTCCATCACTTCTGGAAGTTGCTGCAAATACAGCAAAGTTCATTCTTGTCTACTTGAACCACCGGTAGATGAAGCAAAAGCTCCGAGATCAGCCCTTGCGATTCAAGGGGCCGTGCTGACTGCAGCCCATTTAGAGAAGGCGGGGTTTCTTATCGAGGGAAGTGGATAGGATAATTCGGGTGTTTATATAGGTTTGGGTGTGGGTAGGATGGTGTGGTTTCATAAAGGTTGTGCACTTGTGGTTGTGTAAGCTAATTACAGGAATTGTTCTGGGGCTACCTGTGTGCAAGCATGCTTTTCTTCCACGGTGGCAATGGCGACATGTCGCCGGCTGCAGCAGTACCTTAGAGGACCGTCCACATAGGGGCCAGTGTACTTGCATTTGTGACATCTGTCTGCTTGACCAATCATACACTTTGGACTTTGGACCTATATAGGTTTCTGAAACTCCTGGTTGCGCCGGCATTAAATGCAGGACCTGCGATGGGTGGATCTATGGCTTCGCACATCAAGGTCCTTCCCTGCTCGCTTAAAGTGGTGTCGGATGCTTATAAGATACATTAAGTGATTCGCAAAGCATTTTGCACTTCAAGGATGTGTGCTGATAGCTCGAGTGTAGCAATGGCTGTGCAGCTGTTGGCCGACGTTTTCGAAAAGGAAAAGCTCATCAAAAAGCGGTTCAAGGTGAAGGGTTACTTAGTGGATTTCCCACCACGACGGGTCATGGCAGACGAAGAAGATGAGGATAAGAAGAAGGAGAACCCGATAAGTACGAAGGCGATGGAGATGAATGTATCCGCTCTCAAGGTCATGTTTTCCTACTTCAGGGTGACAAGTGGTAAGAAAGTTCCCATCCAGAAGTTGGAGGCAGCAGCCACTTGCCCAGTCAGATAATCGACACGTCGTACACTAAGTCTTTTGCCATTTGTTTGGTGATGGGTAGCCAGACGAGGTGAAGAAACTTTACGACAATGTCGGATGCGAGCCCAATCCCAAGCTCGGCGACAAGCAGTTTTACCTTGATGCATGGGATTTGCGACGACTCTATTCCTTTGCCTTGCGAAGGGAAAATGATTCCCGAAAGAGACAGCAAACACCTCGGGATTCTCTTCAAAGAATTACATAGTGGTTTAAAGTATCATAGCTTGTACGTGTCCCCAAACAAAGTGTATAGTGTAGGTTTTAATTATATATCTTTCTGAGGCACAGGGTGTTCGGGAACTCTTTGAGATCATCAAGACGTTGCGGGATGAGGAAGACGCTAGCGCCGATGCGGGCGGCGAGGGCGAGGAAGAGGAGGAGGTCGATGATGATCCCCTTTCCGAGGGTTGCGAGGAGGATGTCAGTTCAGCAAGCAAGGGTTCAAATAAGTCTTCGGAGACTGCAAAGGATATGGACGATGGCCGTGGTGTGGCAGCTGCTTTGGCGGATGTTGAGCTTGATTCTCAGGAAGATACCCAGGCCCCGAGGTGGCGGTACAGGTCGAAGTCTACTTTGCAGTCTTTGGCGACCACGGCTGTTCTTGGCGGCTCCAAGGAAAACCTTGGATCCCCTGCTGAGTCCTACGGGGGTGCATTGACAGGGGGCCAGGAAGAGGAGCTGCAGAAGCTTCTGCAGGAAATCAGTTTGTATGAGTGCGGCGAGCCTAAGCATCCGGATACCGCCCACCACGATGCCCTGCTCCTCATGATGGGGTCCCCAACCCGTGCTTCAACTGTCCGAGGCCCGAGTTTCGAAACCAACACAACAACTATCAAATCTTTCTATGAGGCTTCAATAGCTAAGCGATCGACAGATGCATATGTATATATGTCCCCAATAGCAGATAACAGGAACCGGTGAGACACCACCTACCTGCAAGAAGCAGCTCTTCGCGGATGATCCAGCATGGCAGCTGAATCCCGACCAGGCCAATGTTGGGGCTTATCAGTGGTATAGGTGGAGATGTGAAGATCGTATAGAGATGAAGTGCATGCATGGCTAGAAGAATAGATGACATTAGATGTGCTAGATAATGATTGTACACATACACATATCATGACTCAACATGTGTATGGATGTGCACACATACATTCTTTCATGTTTGCAGCAAAAACGTGTACCCATACATAACTATAAGGACAGCAAGAGAACTTGCCATGTGAGTAAACCAACAAAAACTATCCAAATTTGGTGCTATGTAGACCAAACGAACAATTGAATAGGAAAGTGGGTGGTTTATGGGAGAGACCCTCCATGGTTCCCCGTTTCGGAGGTGCTTGTAGGTGCAATGGTTTGGGCTGGGCTGGGACTTGGGACATCTTGTTTGTTTGCTATAGTGGTCTATGTTCCTACGTGTTCAATATTCTGTTCTGAAACAGTGAGACAAATATTGGGTTTGTGGATTCTGCCAGGCTGACACACTCGTGCAAGATGATGCAGCGGGGCTTCATGGAGAGAAGGGTGGGCCTCCCGTGAGTGAGGCACTCGTGCGAGAAGATGCACCGGGGCTTGATGGAGAGAAGGTTGGGCCTCCCGTGAGTGAGGCCATCGAGGTGGATTCGAGTCCGGAGAAGATCAAACCGGACTGGGTTATCACTGTTACAGACTGGATAAGCTTACTCCGTGTTGCTCTGCTTTAGTTGTTCGTGGTCTGATTTCCATGCAGGAGCCACAGTCCCCGGACCCCAAGCATGCATTGGTCCAGCCGGTTTCTTTGGATGATCAGCTTGCACTTCGGGCCGGTCTTCGAGAGAAGCTCCGTCGCAACAGAGGCGGCAAGAAGGCTGGCAAGGTGAGCAAGACCAAGAAGGGCAAGGGGTGCGCCGATGAAGGCTCTGGTGATGCAGGGACGGGGGCCTCGAAGCGCAAACGTGGCACCTGCGATGCTGAGCCTGCCTCGCCTGTGCCAAAGGCAAAGGCGAAGGCAAAGGCAAGAGCGACGGCGAAGGCGACGCCTAAGGGTAAAGCCAAGGCGACGGCCAAGGCGCTGCCATCCGAAGAGAAGGCAGAGGCATCGCCAAAGGCCAAAGCGAAAGCAAGGGCCAAGGGCAAAGCGAAAGCAAAGAGTTCGCCGCAAGGGCCTGTCGATAGTGGTGTTGCTCTCAAGTTGAAGCCGGATCGCAGCCGAACTGGCTACACCGAGTGTGGCACCCTTTTGCTGGGATGCTCCAGCTGCCGCTGGGGTGTGCTTGGCTGCGGGACTTGCCGTCGCACGAATTTCCACGGTGCCCGGTGGAATGCCGTGGCATGCGCAGAGAGCGAGGAGTGAGCAATCTTCGATGTGTCAGGTCACACTATAGTTGGGTTGCAGGCCATTTACAAAACCGTCCTTATCCGGATCCGCCCTGGCATGCTGTGTGCCTTTGGTGCAGCCTTCTTCGGGGCTGCTTACTGATTTCAGTGGCTGCTATCAGCTACATGTCCGATCTTGTGTGCATCACCTGGGTGATGTTTTGCTGGGCAAAGCCTTCGGTGGGCACGGGTAGGGGTGGCTGCTGCCGTGCTTGAAGATGCCAGGTGCTATGAGTACGTAGTGTAGCTTCTATGTCACGCTACATGTAGACTCATGCTAACATATCAAGCTTGTGCCACAATACACAAGTTTAACACTTATTTGCATATGTAGAGCATGTAAAACCATGTCTTTTCAATCTGGATTTATGCCGTTGTTAGGTTACACAGATACATGTGCATGTCTTCGTGCACACGTAAAAAAACATGCAGGTTTCGTTGATTGGGTTTAGTGGACAGAGAAAGAAACATGTAAGTTCACATGTAAGTAAGCGAATATTATAGACATGATCGAATAATTCCAAGTAGTTCTGGTGGGGAAACTGATACTGGGTTGACAGATCATCGTGGCAGCATCGTCTATAGAACCTGTGCCTTATCTCCGAGGGAGATTCTAGATGCAGTGGGGATCTGCTTCACACGCGAGCTTTCTGACCTCATCTCTGTGGTGAAAAGATGGAGTGGGTGAGTGCTCTCTGAAGACTCTACAGGTGCAACTGTCTGTGCTGCAAGCATAACCTCACATGGTAGCCTGGTAGCCCGTGCTTGCACCAACCAACCGATGTCTTGGCCAGGTCCTTTTCCCAACTGCTGGATGAGTGATTCGTGGCGGCTCCGGCATCGATTGGATGAGCGGCCCGCTGCAGGCTCGCCCCGCTGCCGCAGCATGCAGCACCTGCCGGGGTTCGAGTCAGTGCCGAGCTTGACGCACTGATGTTCGATCAAATGTGTTGCCATGCTGAAGCATCGTGCTCAAAGTGTTGTGTGCATACTACTCTGTATGCATGGGTCCCAATCTGTGACATGCTACCACATGAGCTGGAAAGCCTCCTCTGCCGTCTTTTGGAAGTCGATGCTCCAGGGGTGCCTAGGCGAGATCTCGATAGGACCCCTGTTATCTACACAGACGCTTGTGCTGTTCTCCTTAAGGTTCTTCTGTGTGCCATAGTGCTCCTCGTCTTCAATGCCAAGATTGACTTGGCGAAGGCAGGGTTTACCCTATTTGGTCAGTTAGCTACGATTTATAAAGTCGAGCAACGCCACAGCTGCTCAAACGAATGCCTATCCTTTCGGCCAGGTCTACGATGCTCTGGAAGTGTTCGCTGGTGTAGCTTCTTTATCGAGGTGCCTGTCGATGTCTGGCCTTTGTGTGGCAGCCTTGGAAATAAGGTTTTGGGATGCTATTGCAAGTGAGCCGGGATATGATCGATCCATGCGTAACCCGATGGATCTATGCACTCCTGCGGGAATGGCGCTTCTGGGCTGTTCCGTGTTGGGTCTTGTGGTCAACTTTTCTTGGGTTGATGGAGGACTAGGCTTATAGGCCTAAAGCAGCGATAGCAACAAACAAACGCCCAAACATTCTGCATGTTCCCTGAGCCCGTATAATGATGAGTTACAGCATATACATATACATATATAAATATATGTATTTAGTTATAGATAAGACTCGATACCCACAAAAAGACAAACCACAATTAAGAGTTATATTGCTCTATGGCCCCATATAAACTGAAACACCTCAATCAAAGCCGCACGAAAACCCCTTTAAAAACAAAAACACCACCGCCGCCGCCAGCACCATCGCCGTCACCAGCATCAACAACGACACCAATGCCAACACCAAAGGCAACAGCCACAGCACCAACATCTACAACAACAACAACAACAACCACAACCACAACCACAACAACAACAACACAACAACACAACAACGATGTCAACAACACCACCACCACCGCCACCACCACCACCACCACCGCCGCCGCCACCACCGCCACCACCAACAACAACAGTAATAACAACAGCAACAGCAACAGCAACAGTGAGAACAGCAGCAGGCAGCCACAACAACAGCATCATCATCAACAACAACAACAGCAGCAGCAGCAACAAGCAACAGCAACAGCAACAGCAACAGCAACAGCAACAATAACAGCAGCAACAACAACAGCTGTCATGCACTTTCCCAGCTCAGGTTGTTGCTCATCAGCATCTTAAAGGCGAAGGACGGGAACTTCGTTGTCAGCTTCGGGATGGAATGTGGGACCTGGGTTACGGTTTCACGACATTCAACAAAGCGCGAATACTTCCGACCCCTGGGCGACTGTAGCCGGAAGTGTGTGGCGGATGCGAATCTTCTTTGCAGCAGGACTGATACATCAGGGGTCACGGTGACGTCTTCGAGCCTGTGTTCGGGGTCTCTGTTCCGTGTTGTTGCAGTGATTCAATCTCTCTGTAAAGGATGTGCTTGGCCATATATTTGATCTTGGCTAAATCGGGAACGTGGGTGCTCGAGCAGCCCTCTTCATCTATGATTTGGAGACACCCCCGAATGCAGCAACTCCTACGAGCCACACGAGCAGCTTGGACACAAAGGGCCGTCCCTGTGATTCTGCAATTGCATGAAACCTAAACAAAGTGACTAGTTGAGGCCCAAGCCCACAACAAACCGAACTCTTTAGTGTACTCGCCCCGGTAACTACCTGCACTACGAGCCACAACTGGAGCTAGCAAAACAACTGTGAGTTTAAGGCGGCTCGATCATCCCCGGCTCAGAACTGCACTTAAATCCTGCCAATGAAACTGAAGCACCCCAAGCCCTATCATTGTTCTTCCTTGAAGCCCTGAAGCACCTAGTGAAACCAGAACCACAGCAGAGATATTGGCTGGGACAGGTCGGGTATTTCTTTACAGGTTGAAACTGCAGAGCCCGACCCAGGATGTGTTCCCAGGAGCCCGAACATGCACAGCTGGCCATGTAGACGTAGCCTCGGTTTCTGCATGGTTTGGGTGAGCTCCTAAATCATTCCAAGGTTATAGTTTTGGGGCTGAAACCTCGATCCTGGTACTGAGCCACACGAAACCCTTTAGAGCCCCAGGCCTGAAGCAGCCTCAGCCGCAAAGCACTCCCAAGACTGACTACCCGGAACCCTGCCGAATACTGAAGTAGGGTCAGGGCTTTACAAGGGTGGGGTGGGTGGGTGTAGGTAGGTATGTATGTATTACATATATATATAGGGTTGGTACTGGTCGCATGTTTAGGTCCATATGATGTAGGCATACATATTTACATACATACATACATACATACATACATACATACATACATACATACATACACACATACATAAAAACATACATACGTAGTAGTAGTAGTAGTAGTAGTAGCAGCAGTGGCTGGAGGACCACGTCTTAAAGACGGCCAATGACCAGGACGCCTCTTAAAGGCGTCTTGGTCACTGAACGTCTTTTGTTGAGTGGGGCACGGTAGCAGTAGTAGTAGTAGTAGTAGTAGTAGGAGATCCGGTCTGAAAGCACTGCGACGTGAGTTAGATTGTAATTTGTTTTGGAATGTTTCAGTAACCAGCATCGCCCATCACCAAGCAACTACCAGCAATCTCAGTTCAACTTGCACTATAGCCCTAGACTAACGAATATGTTTAAAGGAAGTCATGCTTCATGTCACTCATGTGACCTGACAAGCCCGGGCAAAGCGCAGACAAGGGCAAGCAACGTCACAACTTCAAGATTCAACCAGCGAGCGGAGGCTAACAGCACCGAGTGCCCGACAAAGCAAACCCCGAAGTGAAGCACTTGCCAGCGGCTGGACCTGTCACAGGAGCACGCGGAACAGTGAGAAGCGAGGACAAACGTCCAAGGAGTCCAGACTCTAGCCTGGAATGGGGCCCAGCCTGAAACTGGTTTGCCACGGCGACGGCGACCGCGACTGCGAGGCAGCAGCAGCACCTGCAAGATTGGTAGAAGCGATGAAGAAGTCTGAATGACAACCGGTCTGCAGTGACGGAAACCCAATGCTACAACGCACTTTTTTTGCCAAGGCCGGAAGACCTCCGGAAGAGCCGCGGACCAAAATGGCCCAATTAGCGTGCTTTGGCTGCAAGCTGCAAAAATCGAAGCTTGACTACAGTACTGTACTACCATGTTTGTTTCAGCGCTTGCTGTGACCAGCTACTCGGTAAGTAACTCTGAATATTAATGCTAGGAGCTGCTAGGCTTTTAAAAGCTTCTGCGTGCAGCTCACATCCAGCACCGACTACGACTCCGACAGGCATCGACCACGACATCAGCGGTAGTGCGGCTTGCTCTTGCTGCGACCACCTGAGTCCAGACGCCATGTGAAAGATAGTGCAAAGTCAAACATAAATAGCATGAATGTCAATGAAGCCTCTGTCAGTGGAAGCTGCTGCCAAGATTCGAGCTCCACTACCATGACCATAGGCACCAGTTGATGAGCCTGCACCGCCACTGCCACTGCCACTGCCACCACCATCCCCGTACCGCTTCCCATGGTACGGGTACCCGGAACCCTGCGACGCCTCCGGGATGTAGCCTCAGAAACTGTGAGATTTTAGATTTGAGCTTTGTAAGTTTCGTTTATTAATAGTTATAAATTGAAGCTAAGAAATGCCTCTGCTCTGGCATAGTACTAACCAGCTGGTAACAAGAATGGCTATGATTCAAATTGCTTGTTGCGACTTGACTTGCAAGTTGACAAATTCGTAATGTTAGTTGCCGGTATTGTTCGTTGTAGGCGTTAGGATTAGGGGTGCTCTTCGGGATATAGACCCTCTCAAGAAGTTTGACCCCTCCTCTTAAATTTAAAATCAGCCAGGATGCTGGAGCGGATGGCCTTCATGCGCTCGTTGCAGTGGCGCTGCACCGCCTTCGACGGTTCCAGGTACCCGTAATGGCCGTCTGCGCCCGGGTGGACTTAGATGCACGCGAACAGTAATA